CCTTTTTGATCGAGAAAGCAAGAGACAAACAGCAAGAAACAGGAAACAAAAAGCACATTATAGAACAGCTATTAGTAATCGTATAGTCTGTTTTCTATTCCTGCACTAGACCGTTCTAGAACTCTCTTTCTCGCTTTAAACAAATATCAAACGTATATCTATCTCACTTTAAGTTCCAAAAGTGTACACTAGTTCAGCCACAGAAAACAGACCTATAGGCTGCGTTTAGTAGAATGTTTATTTTGCAACTGTTGGAAGTTTTCTTCGCGCTGATTGGGTTATGCTTTTAAATCAAGAAGAATGGTCCTATCTCAGCAAAGAATAATAAAACGGTTGCAAAACTATTGTGTTCTGCTGAACGCAGCCAATGGTCGCGTTCAGCAGACTTAATTGTGTGGAGCGGATCCGTGAGCACTCGCTGCTATTGGATAATCTAGAAGAATACACCAATAGAAGCGAGTGCTCACGGATCCGCTCCACAACAGTTAAGTTTGCTGAACGCAACCAATGCTTTTTCAAAATGCTTTTCTAAAATGAAATAAATTTGAGGCTCCCGTGTACTTAATTCAGCCATATTGAATCGTGACGTCATAAGCGAGAAACGATTCGATACATTAATTTTTCTTGCATGCCGTGTATTAATAAAGAGAATTTAGATGAAACAAAATATTGAAGTCGTTTTAAGGCTCCTGAGTAGTCAGCCAAAAACTCTGAGTTGACGGTGGCGACACCGAATCAGACAGCGGTCTGGTGAAACCAATAGCAGAGGGTTTCTCTGTCGGTAGCCCCTCACACACAAGCACGACCCCATGTCCGTGTGCCGACCTTCGGCGTGCCGAGAGCTTAGGGTGCGTTTCGTTTCCGTTTCACGCATCGAACCAGGGTTGGGCACGTATTATACACGAGGTTTCTTACATAGTATTATACAGGGAATGGAAGTAACTCGTTACTTGTAACGAAGTTACAGTTACAAGTTACTTTTTTGGTAACTTTACTAGTAACTGCGTTACTTTTTTTCTTTGGTAACTGTAACGGTAACGAAGTTACATTTTTTTGGTAACGGTAACGAATTTTACAGTTACGTTTATCGTTACTTTGCACATGATTGGACACGATACGACACAAGCCACTTACACTGTAAAAAAATTTCGTAAATTTACACATATAATAAATATAAAATAGATTACATGATTAGTTCTGTAAATATAAATGCAATGTTACAGAAATTACAGTAATTCCACAAAAATTATGTAAATTTGTTTTTATTGTGTAAATATATCTTATTTTATATTGGAAATTATAGCAGGATATTTTGAATATTTTCTGTAATTATCCAAATTTTAGTAATATTACGTAACATAAAAGAAATTTTTCGCGTATTGTTGTTAAATGTATAATAATATATAGTGCGAAATATATTGTCATATTATCGTTCTTGTAGCTACACATATACACATTGTAATTGTACTTCCACAATCTGCTTAGTTCCAAACCAAGAAATTATTTTTATTTGCATATTGCAAATTTACAAATGTGTGGACGTTTACAACTATTATAGTGGATCTCAAAATTATCCAGCATAATAGTTATAATTTTACACAATTTTTTACAATGCGCTTGAGATTAGAGAAGCCTCTAGGCTCATCCGCTATGATTGTTGGTCGTCGATTTAAAAAAAAGTAACGGAAAAGTAACGAAAAGTTACTTTCTCAAGTAACGGTAACTGTAACGAGTTACTTTTAAAAATCGGTAACTAGTAACGGTAACTTGTTACTTTTCCTACTCGGTAACGAGTAACTGTAACTTGTTACTTTTAAAAAGTAACTTTCCATTCCCTGGTATTATACATGGTATTATACAAGTATAATACATCATTTAGTTTTATACGTATTATACTTCATGTCGCGCCATCTCTACATTATATGCGTAATTTAATATTTTCTATCAATTTCTACATTATCCACGCTAAAAATCGATCGAAAATTCGCTAACAAACAAAGAACTAAGAGCTGAGCGTTGTGTCTTGAGAGGTCGCTCGTGCGATTCGAACATGTTCTATCTCGAGCGTTACATCCTCGATTTATATTTTTGAATTACGTTATTATTAGCTAAGCGTCCAGTGTTTGGGGGGTCTGCATCATTTTCGCTTTTGTTGGATCCTTTTTATACCTGCCCGATTTCTAGGTGGTCGGTGCCTTGCATATTTCAATTTTATTCATAATACCACAGACCTCGATAGTCTAGTCTCAACGTCTCTAACTCTTGGTGGAAAAGTCTATAATTCTATACATGATGTAATAAGATAAGTGAACCAAGTAGAAGGATGCGCAGTAACCAATTTTGTCAGTCAATCAGAAATCTGTCCAAAGTGCAAAAAGCAATATGGCTGTCTCTATGATACGGGACGTGGGCCTGATTAGGTTAGCTCTTACGCCGTAGTCAATGTCGTGAATTAGTAAGCTAAGAAATCGGCCAGCCAGAGTTATACACATTCACAGTGACATTAAAAAGAGTAGGTCAGATGAATATCTGTAAACTGTAAAATATTATATAACAATTCAAATCATGCCAAATATATCAATTTATATACTATATATAAAATATATAGTATCTATATATATGATATTGATATATCATGCCAAATATATCAATTTATTTACTATATCGTTTATGTAATAAAGAAAACATAGGTTGAAAAAATATTCTAAATAAAGAGATCTTTTGTTAAATCATGCAATTACATTTATTATAAATCTTGATACATAAACTGACGCTGACAACACTTAAAACTGCTGCAAGTTTTCATTAAATTTTACTAAATATTTACTAAACTTTATTAAATATAGATAAAACTCACTATAATGCCTGCAACAATTCCGCAAAAACCTTTGTTGTAAAAGAGATTGGAGTAAATTTGAACCAGAAACGCGCGCATTAGTGAGATAATGTTTAATAATTTCTTATTAATAATGTTTTTCTATTTTTTATTTGTAATCATTTAATCTTCTATATTACTATTTTACTTATTAATTTATTGATCAATATATCTATTTATAATTAATTTACTTTTATTATGTATTTTTATTATTTTACGAGGCTTTTATAACAGTATTTTCATATTATACATATATTTACAAACGTTTTTATTTACATTTTTATCATACACATATATCAATGTTGCCTTTGAAAATCGCGCTACATTTTGGACAGATTCTTGATTGGCTGGCTTATTGCTTGGTCGCCATGATGCGCGTTGGTTCACCTGTCTTATTACATCATGATTCTATAGTAAAAAAATGTGCGTGCACGGCGCAGCAACAACAAAAATCGATATTTCAAAAAAATCGATAACATGGAGTTGTTCTGGAATTCTGGACACTCGTACAGTTTCGTAGACCATAAATTAGAGTTTTATACGTTTTATACAGTTTTTTTACGTATAATATCGTATAATACAGTATAATACAGTATAATGTAAAAAACCTTAGAAAATCCTTCGAAAACCCAACCCTGCATCGAACGCATATGTAGCAGTCAATGCGCTGCGCATATAGGGCTCTATTCAACAAAACGTATACGAAAGTCTAGGGAAATACTATAGTATACGTAACGTATACTGTAGCATTTTCCTAGACTTTCGTATACATTTCGTTTCAAGAATAGGGCCCCATGTATATCGGTCCGTTTCGTCAATGCGCTTTATGCGTGCTTAGAAACGGAACGGTATCATGCATTTGATGCGAACATTGCGAACACATGTCCAGTATGATTCGAAATTATTCAAATATGGACGTCGACATTATCAAATTGTTAAGCGGAAGGCTGAGTTTCCACTGAGCGCGTCACACGTCGCGTCGTCGAAGGAGAGAAAGAGAAGGAATGTGTATTTACATAAACTTATCACTTTCTCTCTTTCATGACGCGACGCGTGACGCGCTCAGTGGAAACGTACCATAAGCTTCATGTTGAGAAATAATGAAATTATGAGTATCGGTAGTTCTAGCGATAGTAGCGAAAATGAAGACAGTGAAAATGAAAATGGTCTCAATGAAGAAGAATTATTATATGCTGTATTAATG